TATCACTCTTTTAATATATTGTTTAAAGGCACAACTCGAAGATTATGTGTGTAGGTTCTCTTATGTAAAAACAGATTCAAAAGATCCTTCCCCATGTCCGCCTATTGTTTGAAAAGAAGACTCATCATAAAGGATGAACCTTGCGCCTTGGTATATGCATCACTCGGCATGCCATACTCAAGCGCTTAAAACTTCATGCAGATCGGACAACAGACGCCGAAGTTAATCAAGAGCGCAAGATAATTTATAATTTTTGTAGGTGCAGCTTGGTGCTCAGGGTTCAAAGCATCTCCTGCTCGGGCACTCCCGACTTCTTATTTTTAGTTGGTTTCTCCTTTGCACATATTTAATTATGCATCAAAAGCACGTGTGCTTGTGCTCGTTGCTGTTGCTGTTGCTGTTTTAATTAAGTATGTTAATTAATTTAGTTGTAAACATATTTTGTTGTATGTTTTCTGCAGCTCTGCTTGTTTTTTTTTTGTGTGGTCGCCTTATCATTGCGGCAACATCTTTTTCATTTGGCTCGTGTTTGTTGCTGTTGTGTTTTACACTTGTAAAAGTCGCTTGTTAACAAACTACACACACCCACACACACACACACAGAGACACTCACTTGCAGAGGCAGAGGAGTGTGTAGGGGCGTGGCACTGTAAAGCCTAGCTGTCATATATCCAACAAAGCTGTCAACGAGCGACATTCGTTGCCTGCCAACTGCCTCACTGACTAACGGATTAGGTTTTTAGAAATAATCAACATATTTCTAATGGTGTGTGTATATGTGTGTGTTGTCTCTGCTAGAGTAGGGTGTCTCAGGCGAAATCCAATGCTTTTTTCTATAAGAAATAGATCAATGTTGTCATGATCTTGGAAGTCTGGGTAATACGTTATTTATCTGTTAGTTTGCCGGCATAAGATACTATATATTCAAGTCTGAGAAATTCTCTGAATACGCACATTAAACATACAGAAAAAAGACTCTAATATACTCGTTTTGCCCTTTTCGTCAACGCTTGCAATTCCCAACAAGTTGATGCTTGAAAAGGTACATAGAACCGGAAGACTCTGGAAATAACTACAAAGACAAACTGTCCGGAAAGCTCTTGAAATATCTAATGGGAAAAACTGTCAATTTTTTTTTATATTTTTACCTTGTTGTTTGTGGGTTATTCAATGACAAGCCAATTTAAAATAATTGCCTACGCTTCCAGCACTCGTCAAGAATTCTCTGGAATAGTCGGTTAATTAGTTCGCATTAACTTATCCCACTTGAAAGTAGTTGCCTTCGAGCACGCATGTATTGCAGGTTGTTGCGTGTGTATTAGTGAGCTTTCGCTTGAAAAGCTCTCAGCAGAGTGCTTGACGCTGTCTATTTTTGAAAAAGCTCAACAAGCAATCGCATGTGTGTGTTCTATGCGTGGGCAACTGCTTGGGACGCCAGTGTATTACAGTGACGTCTTCTCCCCCGTCCTCCCTCTCTGCCCCTCTCTTTCTTTCTGTCTTGTGGCCTGTAGTTTGTAATTTATGATTGCCTGTGGCAGGTAAACGGAATGTTAATTAAATGCTTGGCTCATATGAATAAATGTCTCTGATTATGAAGCATGCAATGCACACACACACACACACACACACACACATATTCACACTCGCAGCACTCGTAATGAAATTGGCAAATTTTTGTGTGCAATTTTCCATTGATTGAAAATTTGGCAATTGCTTTGTAATTGTAATTTTTTTCGTAGTTGTTATTTTCCTTTTGAAAGAAGCAAAACAAAAGCAATTTCTCTTTCGGCTAACAGTTGCAAATAACTAAAAAGCACGGCTAACATTAACAACAACAACAACAATAAACAACAGTTAAAACGACAACAAAGTTAACGTTAACAGCAACTGCTAACTGCATGTTAAATTTAAACGCCAGCATGGCGGCAAAATGGCTGCGCTAGCCAATAAAATGGCTGCCAACATGGCGACCACCAGCAGCAGCAGCAGCGCAGCGACGCTGCAGCAACAACAACAACAACAATTACAACAACAACAACAATTTCAACAACAACAACAGAGCATTGGCCTTATGGCCGCCTCCGTCATAGAGCCCGACTATTTACTGAATAATGATCGCGGTTTATTTAAGGTTTATTGTTTTATCAAAGATTTCATTGGGTAAGTAAATTCCGCGTGAGTAACGGCAATATTTACTATTTACAATGAGAAATAAACAATAATATTGCTGCCTTTAGTAAATATTATGTGTGTATCAATAAAGTTCACTCGAGAGAAAGTTCAAGGTAATTCAAATTGGCAGGGAAACTGGGATTTTATAATAAAACCAAATTAGATCTCTTGAGAAAATCATTTGAAACAGCAAAGAATTCGATTCTCAGCATAGAATATTGATATTACTTTAATGAGTATCAAATATGAATTAATTATTGTGTATGTAAACATATTAAGCTCAAGCAAAAACAGTTTGTGGATATATTTCGGGTAATCTTCATATGACAATTGAAAATCTTGCATACTTTTATATTCTTACTCGTACTTCTGGAGCTCAGTGAAGTTAATAATTGTTGAGTTTAGTAACCAAATCGTGAGAAGTAAAAAAATGAACATGCAACAAAATCTGTTTTCAGACATAACAATGACTATATAATAAAGTCAGCTACATCCTATAGTTATATATGGATATAGGTTTTATTCAGTTGACTTTGATAGATAGTAAAAAGGCGGAGAAATATAGACAGACATGGCTATATATGCAGCTTAACAATCTATTCAAAAATATATTATAAATAGGCTCCAAAAATTTTCCAACAATGTCAATTATGATTTTTTTGAAGGGTTCTACTTTAGGCTATACTCAAAACTGGCTAAGATATATGTAAGAGATATAGGAAATACAAATATTAAAAATATTTATAAATTCAAAACAAATAATGTTGATTTTAATTCCAATTTTGAAAATATTTGATTAGCTGGCTCGAGATACGTGGTTTAATTTATAAAAATATTGTTTTATTATTTTATTTCAATTAATTGAACCCTGGATCTAAAGACAGCTAAGCAAATATTTAAGAAAAAATTCAAAAAACCGCCAAAAACATAATATTTTATATTTAATTTATAAATATTTTTACAATTTGCATTTCCCACATCTATCACATATGTATATCTTATCAATTTGTATTTATTAATAGAACTATAAACGTTTATATGGGAATTTAAAAAATTAAAGAAAATTTATTAAAATTAATAAAATTGATATATATGACAGAATTTTTTTAAATATTTCTAAATTAAATTCAAATAATATTTAGATAATATGAAAATCTTTATGTCAACTACCTCTATAAGGCATTTAGCTAAGCACAGTGGCAGCTACTGTTCCACACACTTATTTAAGCTCATGTACAAATATGTTCTTATTTGTACAGATATGCATTTATTTGGTTGCTCCACCTTGCCAACCCCTGACACCTCCTCCTCCCCCTCTCTGTCCCGTATACGTGCTTCAACGTAATGCAACACCCTGTATATGAAATTTTTATTTTATTTACTGGCGCTTATCATTTTACACTCTGAATGTGTTTGTCGCTGTATGTATCTGTGTGTGTGTGTGTGTGTGTGTGTGTGTTTATTTGTCTGTGTGTAATTCATATTTAATCAACTGATAACTGCAAAAAAGAAAAAAAAAGAAAGAATGTGTGTGTACATTTTGTGTGAGCGTCTGTGAACATTGTCAACCAGCTGCTCTGCTGGCTGCTCCAATTGCTGAACTCCTGTTATTCCCACTGCCATTATCACCTGCTGTGGCTGGGCCTGCGACTGCCAGTTGATACCGGAGAGCATGAGAGACGCTCGCTGATATCACTTGATATGCCCGCCGAAAGAGGCGGCAGAGGGTCTGTTATCAACGCAAACATTTGCAGCTGTCAACTGGCGAGCCCCAAAAAAAAATAAGGGAAAGCATTTAAATTGAGCAATTAGCACATGTTCACTTCTTCTTGTATGACATTCATCTGATAGTCTTTCAAATTATCAACAAGAAGAGCTATTAATAGCTGCCTAAAGATGATGTGCCGCAATTCAACTGATCTTGTTTATATTTTTGCAGCTGATCGCATTGAAATTCTAATATAATATAGATGTTTGTGCGATTACTTCTGTGCAAAATATGTTTTATATAGGAGCTAGAATTGTTTACCACGTCCAGCTTCAAATATCTTACATCAGGAACCATTGAAAAGGCCTAAACGCGTCGATCTCAGCGACTCTTAAGTCTAGACTCTAGATATTTTGAACGTAGCTTTTGCCTTTGTCTCGCGCAGCTTAAGTTTTTTTCAAATCATCAATAACTAAAGCCTTTTTCATATCGTTAACAAAATCGGTTATTTTGAAGCATATCTCGCAGCTTATGTCTCCGACATGTCTTATGTCTACCCTTTCAAATGTGATATGTCGACTCATGTATAGCATACACACCCGAAATATTTAACTTTCTGAACGCCTTTTTCCATTTTCACAAAATTTTTAAGCTCGCCTCTTCGTGAGACACAGTCTTGGACTTTCTTATTTACACACATTTTATTGTCATATTTTTAGCCTGAAAATTTGATGACGATCGGACTATAAACACCGAAGTTCTCATAGTGAGGGTCTAGAGGGAAAGAAGCATAGCCGGAGACAGTTCACAGTTGTGCTTGACTGTGTGTGTGTGTGTGTGTTTGGGTGTGCGTGTGTTTGTTTGGGTGTGTGAGGTTATGCCTGTATGTAAAGAAGTAAGCAAGCCTCTTTATAAAGCCAGCTCGACGGGTTAAAATTGTTAAGCGCATGACCCTGAACTAGCCCATATATATATAATGTACTTATAAGGCTTTGCTTTCTTCAATACCATCTAGAAGTTTCTTCTTTTAACAAATATGTGACTATATATAATTTAACAACGTCTTGAAGTTGGCCTTGAAAAGCGTTCTCCCCATTGTCAAGTTTGTACAACTTCTAACCCAGTCAAACCCTGTGAAAACATATAGAGAGAAACATATCAGCTCTCTGGAATAAAAGTTTTTCCTATAGTTTTTTCGAAAACAAAAGTGAAAACAAAAAAAGTTGAAGCAGAAAATTGACTAGCTATGGCCGAGGAGAATGGCCTGTTTGGTGCCATTTTGATATTCGGTCTGATTGTTGTGGGATATATATTTTGTCATTGTTATCAGAAGCTGAAGAATCGCGTGTGCGGCAACAAGAATGTGCGCATGGATCAAAATGCGGCGCCAGAGTTGCCACCGTTTCCGTTCACCAAGATGACAGAAAAACAGCTGCTCGACTACGATGGCAGTCGCAGCGACGGACGCATCCTGATCGCCTTCAAGGGCAAGATCTATGATGTGTCCACCGGCCTGGAGGAGTTCAGTCCCCAGGGCGTCTTGGGCTGCGTGGCGGGACGAAACTTTTCCGAGTATCTGGCGCGCACGCTGCAGCCGCGCGAAACCAAAGTCGACTATATAGCACGCTGGGATAAGCTGCTCAGTAAGAACTATCCCATGGTGGGCGTACTCGCGGGCGAGAAGGAGGAGGAGGAGGAGGATAATAAAGGAACTGAGAACGAGGAGGAGATCGAGGCTAATAAAGAGACTGTCACGGAGCAGGAGAAGCAGCAGGAGGAGGAGGACTTGGTGGGCATCATGGATGAGCCCAACGATAGCACCGATGTCCAACTGGGCGACTGTCCGTTCGAAGCTGAAGCGGAAATGTCTGTGATTGCCGCGAAGCAAACCAGCGAAATGTTGGAGGATGAACTGCCTCCGATACTTGCCGCAGGTCTGGCTGAGAAATCGTTGTAAAATTTGTTCTGTTTCAAATGTTTTTAAATTCTTATTCGTTTTTGTCGTTCAAATAATACACACAAGTTGCTAAGTGTTTCCGAGTTGATAGGCGTCGTCGTGTAAAGCGAGTGGTACCCTTAAATATCCCATACAGACATGGTCTAAATTACCCATCCCCATAACTCGTTCAAATCTTATCCGATTTTTACGAAGATTGTCTTTTTCTTCATGGATTAGCCTCTAGATTAATCTGGCATTCAAATCTGAACACAACTTTTTTAGTCGAAATTCATGTCAAAGTCACCTCAAGATTCGATATAGACAAGGGTCAAAATTTCCCATCACCATAACTCTGTCAAATCTTATCAGATTTTTACAAGGTTAGGCTTTTTCTTCATGGTTTTCCCTCTAGATTAATCTGGCATTCAAATCTGAACACATATTTTTTAGTCGAAATTCATGTCCAAATCTTACCCCAAGATTCGATATAGAGATGGGTCAAAATTTCCCATCCCCATAACTCGGTCAAATATTATCCGATTTTTACAAGGTTCGACTTTTTCTTCATGGTTTTCCCTCTAGATAAATCTAGCATTTAAATCTGAACACATATTTTTTAGTCGAAATTCATGTCAAAATCTTAGCCCAAGACTCGGATATGGGGATGGGTCAAAATTTCCCATCCCCATAACTCGGTCAAATCTTATCCGATTTTTACAAGGTTCGACTTTTTCTTCATGGTTTTCCCTCTAGATTAATCTGCATTCAAATCTGAACACATATTTTTTAGTCGAATTTCATGTCCAAATCTTAGCCCAAAATTTGTACATAGACATGGGTAAAAATTTCCCATCCCCATAACTCGGTCAAATCTCATCCGATTTGTATAAGATTTGGTTTTTTATTCATGGTTTTCCCTCTAGATTAATCTGGCATTTAAATCTGAACACATATTTTTTTGTCGAAATTCATGTCCAAATCTTAGCCCAAGATTTTTACATAGACATGGGTCTAAATTTCCCATTCCCATAACTCTGTCAAATCTCATCCGGTTTTTACGAGGTTTGGCTTTTTCTTCATGGTTTGGCCTCTAAATCAATTTGGCATGAAAGTCTGGCAACGTTATTCTGGGTCGAAATTCATGTGAAAATTGTACCTTCAAATTGACTTAGAATATCTTAAATTTAATATTTAGACCTCTGTCTTCAAAATTGTACTAGTTCACATACATATCTATTGTTTAAAAGAATTGAAAACTTGACAGTTGTTTAATCTATCACGAACTTGACTTTGTTATGATGGATCTCTGTGAAGCACAGAACATTTGATGGGTAGCAAAGGCCAGGGTTACTTATTTTGTTTGAAGGAAATGCCTAGACATCAATTAACACTTTTCGCATTTCACTTGAAATGCCCAATGAGATGGAAAAAAAGAAAAGAAATTTTCTCAAACACAAACAAGTTGACTCATGCCCATTTTAGAAGTCGACGCCTGTCAGCTGACTGATGAGAAATTGTTGTAAAAATATTTTAGCTGTCTCTGCCGGACAGACGAGCTCTAGAAACCTCTCAACAAATAATGCATATATGGCGACACCTGCCCTCTAACAGTGTGAAAATGCAATTTTCATTTTCATTTCATTTCATTTCATTACACAGCTGACTTCGCACTTGGCTAACAAACTATTTTCGATTCGGCTCGAGGGCTATTTAATTTCATTGACAACATTTGTTCGAGTGGCCGTTGGCCAAAAATGCATTCGATTTCTAGACGCTCGCCGCGTGACATCTGCAATTTGGGTTTATTTTTAAAATTCCGATTGGGCTCTCGCTAAACATGCCAATTAATTATGTATATGCATTAAAGCTGTTTATAACTTGAAGTTTTTGCGTCTTCGAATTCAAATTTGACATTTTAATCAGCTTGTTTTTAATTTGCATTCAAATTTAAATACCATTTATTGACTTTTGGTTTACTTTTGCATTTCTTTGCAGGTGAGCGATAACATTCGATTGATTGAACCTAGATTAGAACTCTGACTAAACCCACCTCTTGGTGGGGGCGAACTAGTAAGTAAAATGGGGTGTACTTGAACTGAAATTAATGGGCCTGTGTTGGGCATTGAGCCATTAAAAAAAAGGTAAACAGACCGATAAAAGCTTTAGGCGTTCTATCAAGCTCCCCACTTGAGATATTCCTTGTCCGAATGAAACGTCATTAAGATATTTTATGTGCAAAAGTGATCTCTATCCCTCTCTCATTGTCGTTTTCTCTCTGTAGAGAGAGACATGTTGCGCATTCTTCTTTATGCAGTGTCCTTAAACGCTAAATTTTCATTTATACCAAGAAGTAAGAGAAACAAGTACAATATAAAACAGTGTTATTCATAATAATATTTTGTAAAAATTGGGCCATATTGCCCATTTAAAAGTCTTTCTCTTAACAGTGTTAAACAACCAACAAAAGGGCCACTAGTGTTGCACAGCAGCCAAAATCAGACTAGTGCTGTTTTATTTACTTCATTAATTGATCAATATCAATTTTTAAAGCTCGATTTTTGAGTTTGCCCCGGCAATCTTGCTCTTGTGCACCAACCTCACCAGCTGTTGCTTACATTTTGACTTTATTTGCTTACTTACCGTTATGTCCGCATGTGTTTACCAACACTAAGCCCCATTGCCAATGCGCTGCAAAGCCTACACACAAACAGAGCATGAAACTCTTCATTTGAGTTGAGTTTACATAGCTTTAGTTGAGTTCAAAGTTTTCTTTGTTTTTTTCTTCATCTTGCTGATTGTTCTTGTTTTTGCGCCTAAGTACAGTGTGTACACACTGCTTGATATGCTTTCATAAGCTGCTCGAAAAACTCCACACACACATATATGTATATATATTGACTCTTAATTAAAAACGCCCCGTCTGGGGCGTTGGGCAAATGTTGACTTTTTGCTGCTGTAAGTGCTGTAAAAACAAAGAGCGCAACAACTGACAAGAGAGGGAGAGTGGGAGAGAGAGGGCGAAAGAGAGAGAGAGTATGTATTGGATTATGACTCAGATAGCCTATCAACATATTTCATCTATCTGGAATTTGTTTACTTCCATTTTTTGATAGCTTATCAAAGTCTCCGATAAGCTTGTTCCATACACAAAACGCAACTCAATACATATTTTTGTATATTTAGTACTACAATTAAATTCCAATTAGAAAAAGATGTTCTGCCAATACACAAACATTAACATATATATATATATAAATATGTATTTAAATTTTGTAAATTTGGCTAACGCTTTGCTTACGTGCGCATTTGCACAATTCTCTAATGAGCCAATAAATTTAGATTACGTATACGCGCAGGTGGCCCGCTGCAGCAATTTTCTTTAATCAAAAGGCAGAGCCATAGCCGCATGCATGCTGCACAAATTTCATGATACCCTGTGAAAATTGATTAAAATTGGGTATATTAAACACATTTATCAAACTATCAAAGCCTGTGTCACGTAACTTGGGATGTAGCTTCTTATACTCCAAAAGTGTTCCAAATTCAATTTCATGCTATTTGCTAGTCTTCACCAAAGAATATAAAATTACAACTGCAATTTTTTGGTGCATAAATAATCTGTATAATTCATATATGATTCATTTTCAACCTGTTTACAGGGTTTATTCCTTTAAGTAATTCATATACTATTCAATTTCAACCTGTTTACAGGGTATATTCAATATACTTCATATACAAGGCACTTCAATCTGTAAACAGGGTATATTCTTTCGCATAATTCATATAGCATTCACTTCCAAACTGTTTACAGGGTACATTCCTTTAAATAATTCATATACCATTCACTTTCAGCCTGTTTACAGAGTATATTCACTTATATAATTCATATAGTTTCCATTTTCCACCTGTTTACAGGGTATATTCCTTTGCATAATTCATATAACCTGTTTCATTCATTCATTTCAACCTGTTTATATTCCTGGGTATATTCCTTTACATAATTCATATACCATTCACTTTCCGCCTGTTTACAGGGTATATGCACTTATATAATTGATATATTTTACATTTTCCAACTGTTTACAGGGTATATTCCTTTACTTAGTTCATATACCATTCACTTTCCGCCTGTTTACAGAGTATATGCCAGTCAATCAGTCTCGCTCCAAGCATATTCATTTGTTGCGCTTTGCTTTTGCTTTAGTTTTTTGGCGTTTTTACAGCGATAAATTTCACGCTAACTCAACACTTGCCGCTGCTCGCAATTAGCGCTAACCCCCCGCAATGCCCCCCGCAATGCCCCCCGTAATACCCCCCGTAATACCCGCCTAGTCGCACTCCGCTAAATCGCACATGCATAGTTTTTGGCACATAATAAAATGCCAACGATAGTGCGACTATCGTCAAATGCAAACGGCAAACAGCGAACAGCTTTCATCAACAGGTTAAATTAATGATAATTATTTGTCGCAGCAGCTGTAAGTCGTTAAATAGTTGCATTCATATTGATATTATATCGTATACGATATACATATAATATATCGTTGATTCCGTATCAACTATTTACAAATGAACTCTTTGTTGTCGTTGTAAGCGGTTTATAGTACAACACACGCGCTTTGCTTATCAAAGGCTTCTATTTAACTACTACGCTATATTCAAAAAGTTTATAGGGTATATATGGTGGATAATGTGGCACAATTGTTGAGTAAATGCACTTTGCTGCACTGCAAATGCCGCTAATAGACAGCTGGACAATGTGTAAAGGTTTTCGCTTATAATTCGCAACTTGTTTAAGCGTATGCTCTGCCTAATACTTAAAATAATAATCGCGGCTGAAAGTGATATGGTTTTAAATGAATTGTTTTATCTTAAAACTTTTTTTTGAGACTTGAGAACTTTTGTTTGTTTTTTATACTTTATGAGCTCCCTTTTACTTTCTACTCTTCCCTCCCAAAAATCTTGGCTAAATACTTAAAATCTTAATGATAAGATATAATAAATCATACTTAAATGAATTCTAATTGTGCTTTGATGTTCTGTTCCTGATATCACTTGATTTACATTTGTATTTGTTTTTCAAATTCCTATTGAGCGTATT